GAGATCGAGAGAGAGAGAGAGAGAAAGAGAGAGAGAGAGAGAGAGAGAGAGAGAGAGAGAGAGAGAGAGATTTTATCACCGTAGGCACAAACTGAAATGATAATGCAGAAATACACAATCAGCATGCAAGGACCACACAGGCAGAACTAGTAGCCTACTAGATCTATGCAAGGGACTCAGGTGAATGATTGGAACTGGATTTGTTTGGCACCTGTCCAGCTACCCCTGCTGCTCTAACAGGCAGTCTTAAGCCAGGCTAGACAAACATTGCCTGCAAGGTCTGTGGTCTGTGCTGAGATTTGACCAGTCATGTTTGGGTTGCATATTTCTCAGCTGTGAAAATATTGATCAAAAGAAAGAAAAAAAAATGCTCAAGTCAGTGGGATGACTTATTAAACAGTGTTGCATTCCTGGAATTTCATAATTTATGGTTTCCTTGGCCTTGATCTTCTGTTATATTAATTACATTTTATGTAAATTTCATCTGTGCACAGCGTCTTTCAAATATATGACATTTGTATATGTGAGACGTGCTGACAAAATGGGTTACTTCTCACGATCCCAGAATGGAGATATCGGCTGAAAATCGACACTGGGGGTCAGATTTATAGATGTTCAATTAATGCCATTTGGTTCAAGTTTACTGTGTCTTTTACTATTCCATGCTCACAAATTGTACAAACTTCACCTATCAAATTGATGTATTAATTTCCATAAGGCTGGAATCCGAGAGTAACTCATTTTGTCAGCATACCTCACATATTTATCATTGCCTTTCTTACCCTGGGTCAGGGCATAAGCCACAGACAAATGCTTTTTTTTCTTCTGTTTCTTGGGACAGCTTCTTGACATTTTGCCATATCTTTCCACTTTTGTCCTTCATTTTCTGTGACTCTTCTCCAGGTTCCATATGTTGCCTTCCTCTTGATCTCTTACCCCGTGGATTCCAATCCATCACTTGGTACATTATTTTGATGTTGTAGGCCAACAGATTTTGGTGCAGAAGACGTTTCTTCAACAGTGATTAAGATGCCAATTACAGCAAGGGCCAAAACATCAGCATCGTGTGACTGCTAAAACTTTCAGGGGTTGAATAATGGTGTGGCAGATGGACAGATGAAGTGAAGAATTTAGGCCAAGACATTATAAATCGAAACTGAGAATTCAGATTGAACACAAGTTTGCCTATTTTGAAACTGCATGATTCCTTATTTGGAAAATAGCACCTAATAGTAATTTTTATCCCAACTCCCAGACCTTAAAAAATCTTATCAAGTTGTTTTGCCCCCTCCATACGGCTGGACTGACCCTGACGGATTTTTGTTATATTCATGGCGTTTAATTTAAATTCAAAATGAATGTAAAATATAGTTTTCTTTTATGCTTGTTGAAAAGCTGTTTCATTGGAGATGGATTTTGTATCCTGCTTGCAGGCTGGATGTACTTGTTTTTACTTATTGATTGTATTCATTTCTTGTTGCCAGGAGTCCCACAATGGATTGTAAAGAGGGGGATGGTCAGAGGGAGGGTCAAGCCATGGGCTCTTCCAGCCCCCGGTCGTGTGGAGTGACCACTGATGTGGATGGCATGCCAGCCACCGTCAACATTCTCAAGCCTCAGATTGACCTGATCTTCTCCGAGGTTCAGAAAAACCTGCCCACCATCGACTTTGACTCTTCAGATGTGCGTTGAAAGATTATGTGTTACTTTTCTTTCTTTGACTTTTGTTATAAAAATTGTGTTTAGTAACTTTTTTTCTGTAATCATGCACGTGAAGCTCCAGAAAATTAGTCATTTATGATTTTTTTACTGTTACTATTTTATAGTTTTACATGATGACATTTTTCTGTCAACTATTGTGTTTATTTATTTTGGTATTATGATCTTTTACATATCCTGGAGAAGTTTACAGTATAGATAGGTCTGCATCAAAAATGAGTTTATAAAGGTATCGAGCTATATTTTTTGAATGATCTGTTCAATGAACTATGTACTTGGAAGGAGTTCTAATTTCCTATTTTTTTCATTTGAATTCTTTTGTCAGAGTGCAAAAAAAACCCTTCCATAATCACAAACTTTTATCACTTGCCTGAACCAACTTCATGTACTTTGCTACTTTCTTCTTTTTGCCCTGCCAGATATCATCGGACAACGATGAACCAATTTTCTTCCACCAACAGCTGAAAATGGGTGAGCTGAGTGGTGCCTTTGACGACGACAAAGATTTAGACACCTCCCTCAGTGGTGGGGACTCTCCTCTGGTTGGCAGAACTGTCGAGGGGACAGTTTCCTCGTCCCGTGTCAACGGCATTAAAAATAACTCTGAAGATGAAAACGAACTCAAAGCAGATGATGAGGGAGATGATATGTATGATAATGACCTTGCTGCGTTTTTGGAAAAGTCTTCGTTTCCTTCGGATGATGAAATTGTCGAGTGGCGGAGGATGTCGGACAAAATGGAGGAGTATCAACGGGCGGAGGAGAGGCATGAGCTGGACGATCTTCGTCGCTCTCAGCTTCTCGGTCATCTGACCAATATCCGACAGTCTCTCACCGCAAGCTCTACAGGCACATCCACATCTACCGATGGCCACTTTGGTCAGCAAAACCGATCGACCGTTTCAACCTCCACCCAAGCATGTGAAGGTCCCGTCGATCCTACTCAAGTGACGATAGAAACAGATGAACAGGAAGTAGGTCAGCAAGATGACGCCCCTCCCACAGTCAAACTGTTCAACCAAAGGCTGCAAGACGATATGGCGAACGTTGACCCCAAAGAAAGGAGAAGGTTACTGGCACAACAGAACCGCAGTAAAGATTCTGAAATTGCTTCAAAGTTTGCGCCGAGAGAGCCCACCATGTTGTCCTTGAGATTTTTTGAAGAAGTCGACTTAGGTGAGTAAAGTATGGGTTAACACCCCTATCAACACTATTAGATTGTTTAAGAGGACCAGGCCAAATGGGTTTATAGCCTTGAAAACTCAAGTGTGTTTGGTATGCATGTGAATGCACATGTGTACGTGTAATGACAGTTATATGTGCATGAGTGAGTGTGTGTGTGTGTGTTTGTGTGTGTGTGTGTGTGTTTGTGTGCACGTGCTTGAATATTGTTCATACTTGCATTTATGTAAAGCTCCAAGAGCTATGTTTACACGGGAGTGTGCGCTATAGAAATGATCTTCATTATTATTATTATTATTATTTTTATTTTTATTATTATTATTATTATTATTATTATTATTATTATTATTATTATTATTATTATTATTATTATTATTATTAAATTCTTTCATTTGTAAATTCCAGGGAGCCTTTGATTATTTTTTTTTCGACTGAGTTGTTATCTGGCTCTTTTATTTCTTTCCTAGGGTCACCTATGTCCTTGTTCTGTGTCTAAGTTTCTCTGTCTATCTGGCATGAGCTCTGTAAATGTAAGCTGTTCTAGAACAACTGTCTCAGTTACACGCTCAATTGTGGGTGGTTGGCGGATGCCCTGGTGTGGTTTGCTCATTCTTTCCTATCAAACGTCCATCATTCGTTTCTCTCCTTTTTTTTTTCTTTGTAGATTATTTTCTAATACGGCCTCTAATCTGCGCATAATGACATATTTGTGTTGCAACTGCCGTAAAACTTTTACTACAACTAAAACAGCGTTTTTAACTGTGTCCATCTATTGCACATTTAGGCCTTCTGCCAAGCATTCCGTCTTTGTGTTCCCAGGCCATAATCTGCTGATCAGTCAACTAACTTCTTCCTATTTAGATAAAGCTAATCTTATTTATCTATGGTATTTGTACTATCTATCTGTCAGTTCGTTGGTGGTTGGCGGGTGCTCTGGTCTGGTGTGGTTTGCTTCTTCTTTCCTATCAAACATCTATCGTCCTTATCTCCCCTTCTTCTTTTTTATGTTTGTTATTCTCTTGTAACACCTCTAATCTTCTGGCGCTCATATGACCTTATGCAGTTGCGAGCACCATAAAACCTCTACTAAAACTACTAACTCTGTCAGTTACACTTCACATTTGCGGGTGGATGAAGGTTGCAGCTGGAAGGTTCAACTTCTTCTCTTTCCCTCCTTTATTTCAGTCTATCTCTCATTCTTTTTTCCTTTGCAGACATTGACCGTCATGTGTGCCCATGTGTTTTTTATTACTCTAATGAACAAATTTGTCCATCGCTGTCAAACGCAATGTAACTTGCGGATGGATGTAGCATGCCACTAGGATACGTCCAAGTTCTTTCCTTTTCTTCTTTTACATCAGTCTGTCTCTTTTGCTGTTTCCTTGCAGAAATTTACCAACATTATTATGTCAATGCTTTTGTTACTCAAACAAATTGTGATCGATTTCTGTTTGACAGCTTGGACTGGGAACATAAACACAACGAGATAAAGAAAAACTGAATCGATTAATGTAGAAAGCATGCGAAATTTCAACAGCTATATTCGATGAATTATACAGCTATATTCTGTTACTTTGATGAATTATACATTATCGCTTACACTAGAAAAATTAATTCTATGTTTTTGGACAATTGACATCCCTTGTTCTCTCAAATAAAAATATCAATCAGAAGTAAAAGACCTAGGCTTCTGATCTGCAACAAAAAAAGATATAGAAGGTTTTTCTTAACATCATCTGTTAAACTTCTACCATCTTAATTATCTTGTTATAAGAAATCCTATGACCTTTAAAGCATGCATCAGAATACCATTGAGTTACCATCAAAATACTGAGGACATATCTAGCTTAACACTATTAATCTTTATAATTACTGTTCATTTATATTACTATTATACATGTGACTGTGAGCCTGTTTGTGAGTGCATGCATACTGTTGTATTTTTATGGTTATGTGCACAGATGTGTGTGGAAGAGAGGGTGTGTGAGGGAAGAGAATGGATGTGTGCATGTACGTACGTATGCGTGTGTGAGCATGTTTGTGTGTGTGTGTGTGTGTGTGTGTGTGTGTGTGTGTGTGTGTGTGTGTGTGTGTGTGTGTGTGTGTGTGTGTGTGTGTGTGTGTATACGTTGTGAAACTCCAAACCTATGTGCCAGGGTCTGGACAATAAAGATGTATCTTATCTTAAACTTGTCTGTGGGTGGCTGGCAGGTGCTCTGGTGTGGTTTGCTTCTTCTTTCCTATCAAACATCTATCATCCTTATCTCCCCTTCTTCTTTTTTATGTTTGTTTCTCTCTTGTAACACCTCTAATCTCCAGGCGCTCATATGACCTTATGCAGTTGCCAGCGCTGTAAAACCTCTACTAACTACCACTACTACTAAACTTGTCTGTCAAAACGCTATGTGACTTTGTCCCCAGATTCCGTGCTGCATGCTGCCAGCGAGGAGAACATTCCCATCTCAAGCCTGAGGCTGGTTGGTCGGCCCACGGCCAATCAGATCCCACAGTCTCATAGTGGGGGTGGCGACACCAACGGGAAAGGTACGATAGACTTGTTGTGTGTTCAGCTGGAGGTTTTGAGTTCGGATATCGTATGTGTATCGATTTAAAGTAAAAGCAGCGAAATAGAACATATGAGCTCAAATAATTGTGCTTGTTGAGATAACTGGGTTTTTTTTCAAATTATGTGAGTTTGTAAGAAGTGTCTGCCGTTTGGTTGCTCTTAACGATCGGAATTGTGTCAATGGGAGCTTAAAAATGCTCCTACACTATAAAGATCGGAGTGCTTATTGGCCCACAGGGGCATATAAAATTTCCCCTGGAACATTTATTATTTGCCCACAAAATTGCGAGTTATCTCCCCTGTGTTTGGTCCCCCAAGTACCCCCCCCTACAAATCCCCAAATGATAAAAATGAAAATACTACAGCAAAATCCCAATTAAATATCAGAGAAATTATTTTACGGTCTTGTATTATAATTATATACTTCTCTAAGGCTTAAGTTAATATTATTTATTATTTTACACCAGTGACATGACATTTTAAGTTTTCAGTTAAAATGAAAGTAAGTCAATTTATACTATAATATTAAGGAAGTATAGAATGACTCTCAAACCAGCAAGATCCCAAAAGATAACAAAAACTCACTTGTGTTATTAAGGACACAGAATGCTAATAGTAATAGCCGTATTTATTATTTCTTATTTAATCTTAATAATCAAAAACTATTAAAGCTAGAGAAAGAACGGAAAGTCCTCTCATCTTCAAATTGGAATGCTTCAGGAAAACGTTAACAAGAAGGGATAAAGTGAGAAAAAAATAAAAGAGAACAAGTTGGGACAACACCACGTATGAAATACATTGAAAAACAACGCATTAAATGGCCAATGTGGGCCAATAAGCCACAGCTTATTTGCCCATGTGGGCCATTAAGAGCAGCCTATAAAGATAATCATTTAAAAGAATTGTTATCATAGCTGAAAAAGGAAGCGATCAAATTTTGTTGTTGTTTGGAATGAATATTGTCTCAAAAGAACAATTTTTGTTAAAGAGTTTAAAGAGTGATGGTAATATCTGCAAAATCCCACTGTGGTAGGTTTATAAACAGTTTTGTTTTGTCTTTTTGCTTTTTTTTTAGATTGCTTTTTGTTAATGTATGTTTAAAATGCAAGTTCTATTTTGTAAATTTAAAAAACAAAGGCTTGTAAGGCTTTACGATAGCCCTGACTGGCCGACCAGTTTATTCCAGTTTACCTTCTGTGTTCCTGTCTGGACAAACTATGTGGTAGGCTATTAGGCACACAAACACTATTATTCAGACTAGTATAATACCTCTTCTGTAATGGTATAATAACATTGAAATAGAATTGAAGAGATTGCAGGGTGTATAGAAGTATTTTCGTCTTTTATTAAATTTATTAAATGAGTTCCCTTTCTCTGTGTCAGTCTACGAAATTTGGATTGAGCTCCTTTAGTATATGATGATGATGATGATGATGATGATGATGATGATGATGATGTTGGTGATGGTGATGATGATGATAATGACGATGATGATGGTGATTATTATTATTATTATTATTATTATTATTTTTGTTAAAGTAGTCACATTATAGATCTATGGCTATGGCACAATCAGATTTTGTACATGGATGGTTGGCGGGTGCTCTGGTGTGGTTTGCTCCTTCTTTCCAATCAAATGTCTATCATCCTTATCTCCCCTTCTTCTTTTCTATGTTTGTTACTCTCTTGTAACACCTCTAATCTTCTGGCGCTCATATGACCTTATGCTGTTGTGAGCGCCGTAAAACCTCTACTAAAACTAAACTAAAAGATTTTGTACACTCCTTTGTCCTGCTTCTGGGGTGTGGAGTTTTTTAGCGTGTGTCCTGGGCTTGTTGAAATTGGACCCGAGCTCTACGCTCTATTTGAGTGCTGAAAAAAAGCACAAATAATGACAAAATAAATGATCATTGCTGTAAGCTATGAAACCACTGCTGGTGTGTATTGCACTTTGTCTTTTTTTTATGTTATCAGAATTTAGAAATGTCGTTCAGTTTTCGAGCCCAAAAATTGGAGTTAGCTTTATTAGTATATTGAGTGTTCAGTGTTAGATTCTGTTTGTTTTTGTTTTTGTAAAATGTTTTACGGCGCTCGCAACTGCATACGGTCATATGAGCGCGCGGGACACACCTAATATTTTCAGTTGGTAGGAAATTTTGAATTTTGCCCGTGTGGCGGCCGAATCCTATTCTTATCGATTTTAGACCACCAAGGGATCTTTAACGTGCGCAACTTGCACATGGGCCCTCTGAGATTTTTCGCCCTTGTCCGAGAAGGCTAGGTGTAGATCTTTCCTACCAGAAGATCAGGGGTGTGGTAGAAAGACAGCAGTAAGGAGGAGCGAAGGAGTAGCAGTAGAAAGGCTGCAGAAAGAGTCAGGAGCCCAGAGGAGGGGGCAAAGGAGGTGAGGGGGTGGGGGCAGAAAGTGGAAATGAAAGCAGACAACAGAACATTGCTAGAGAACAGGAAAGGAGGTGAAAGGAGACAATTTTAGAGAAGAACATATTTCGGTCGCTACCCGGATTCGAACCCGGGACCTATTGAATGAGAGGCCAACACCTTAACCTCTAGGCCACGAGAGCCCCCGTTTTAGATTCTGTCATACGTCTCTTTTCAAAATGATGAATGGTGGAGTCTTACACAAAACAGTCAATGTGATATTGTTGCGTTCTGCTTTCCAACACTGGCGTGACTGTATTGATTTGATCGTAAGATAAGTGGCGTCGGTGGCCTAGTGGTTAGGCTTTCGGACTCGCAACCATAAGGTCGTGGGTTCGAATCCCGTCAGGGGCCTGACGTTGTGTCCTTGGGAAAGGCTCTTTACACGAATTTTCCTCTCTTTACCCAGGTGGGAATGGGTACCTGGCTATAGACAGCGAGCGAAAGATCTTGTCAGTTTGTTAGTGTTTGAGTGCTTAATCAGCTGCTTGCACTGTATGCTTCCCTGGAAGTTGAGAATGTTTCGGAGTGTTCTATGATCTGCTGGGGTAATAATATTGTGTAAAGCGCATAGAGCTTGCTGTTGAGTGGGGGGTATGCGCTATACAAATGCTATTTGTTGTTATTATTATTATTATCATTATTATTATCATAAGACTCTGACTCTGAATCTCCATCCTCCACACAGACGCAGCGGAGGAACTGACACTCATCCAAAAGCTCGCCCATCTGTCCATGACCCACAGCGGGACTGACCTCAACAAGGTCAAGGCCGTTGACCCTCGCACAGGTGCCGTCATCGAACAAACGGACCCTCGGCTCATCAGTAACCAGTCGCAGGACGACGCAGCTCCAAGACAGCCACAGAACACAGAGGGGCCGGAGCCCGGGGATTTTTCCACACAGACTCCAGGTAAGGAAAACGTGGACGTGTCAAATAATATTTACAATGACAATGACAATTTTTATTCATCTCGCAGGGAGAAATTTATGCCTGCGCGAAAGTAATCTGTTCAGTAATCTGTTCAGTTTTCTATTCAGTTATCTATTCAGTAATCTGTTCAGTAATCTGTTCGGTAATCTGTTCGGTAGTCTGTTCAGTTATCTTATGAATGTTGAGTGGGGTACTCGTTTGACTTGCCATGATGAGGGTACGAAACAAAAACAGGCTCTTTGATTGTATACTGTACTGATAAATTAGCAGACAATGACCATGCTGTGCATGTGGAAGGAGGGAGCGAGTGAGAGTAATCTCTCCTACTTTATTGGAATGACAAAAATGAAGAATCCACGACTAATTACCGAAACATAACACGAATGATCGTAAGATCACACTTTCAACAATTAGTTTTATACTTTAGTTTTAGTAAGAGTTTTATGGCATTTGCAACACAGTAAGGTCATATAAGTGCCGAAGATTAGAGGTGTTACAAGATAGTAACAAACACGAAAAAGAAGGAGGGGAGATAAGGATGATAGATGTTTGACAGGAAAGAAGGAGCAAACCACACCAGAGCACCCGCCAACAGAGATCTTATTAACACACACTGTGAAACTACTGGTATTGACGAAAAGGTGTATTCAAAACCTGTTCTTATTAGGCCTTTCTGAAAAATCATTTTTTAAGGATGTCTTTTTTTGACTGGGCATTAAGGAAATTTAAATGAAATAGATTGTACAGAAACATTGCATGTAAACCACAAAATGCTCATGTATCAGGCACTTATGTTTTATTGCCCTGATATGATTCAACACACTGCAGAATACGTATAATTCAGGCTGTCTGAAGATTATGAATATTTCCAGTGACATGGATGATCACCCGATGTCATGGTTTCGACTACTGCATGATGGGATCATTTTCTTGCACTGTGTTATGTGTTAAGCATCATGGTGAAATCAAGCGCTCGTCAAAATAATAAAATGGAAGCAACCAGCGTTTCCCTGCTGAAATGGCAATTTAATTTTTATCCTTAAAAAAATTTTGATTCGGCACTTTTTACATCCGTTTCAAAACACATTTCTGTGTGGATTTTTACTGAAAAACATTGATTAAAAGCACGAAAAATGTACTTTTTCATTTTCTAAAGGCTCTTAAGCTTTGGAAGTCACCAAACTTTGGTGGCCATTTTACCTCTCAAACAGGCGACTCCTTGTTCCTTCAGGTATAACTGTCTTGACTTCTGCTCCTGATAGATGGGTATTTTGTCATTGAAAGCAAGACAAATGAACCAGCTGTAAGATTTGACCAGCACCTGATTCCACGGCAATGCGACACATTTATAACTGGCGTCACAATCAGTCTGATTAAAAGCAGAATTACAGTTTTCCGAAAAAGATAAAAACATAACGTTAAGAGAAGATATGATAAGAGAAGATAAGATAACACTTTATTGTCTAAGAGGGAAATTTTTCTCGGCTGTATAGGACCGTAAAAAAACACGCAGGTGTACGTAGAAATTAAATTGTATATTACTTTCACTAAAATTCATTATGAAAAGAAAAGTAAAGCTGACAATAATGTATAGATCACATCAGATGCCTCATGCAACCACATGCAGGAATTTATCTCAAGACCTTTAGAGTTATATATAGATACATGTGTATATTCAATTCGAAACAGCAATACACATTGATGTTTAATCTGAGAGTAGCCTTATACTAGATGGTAAAAATTAAAAAAACCCTTTCTTTTGTATCTTCATTTCTTTGTTTTTAGTGGTATGTATCATAATGGTATTTCTGTGCATTATTAAAATTACTACTGGCATTTTGATAACAGTGCTCACATCTTTTTAGCAATTTTACTTGAATACCCTTTGTGTTTTTAATTACTTTCTTATTGAAGACGGTGACTTGTAGTAAAATACACCCACTTTAAGATGCAACAAAAATAATCACAATGACCTGACCACAATACTTTTCCTCATCATTTTTATTGATTGTATCAGGCTGATTGCCAAACTAATAGCATCAATCTATTCAGTTCTCTGTTCAGTTATCTGTTCGGATATCTGTTCAGTTCAATAACTCTTTATTGGAATAGCCAAATTTTGCACAAATTCTCCTTTTTTTCCTGGTTATTTGTGATTAATGGAGGAAAAAGTCACATTAGCGGTGCCTGGCTTCTGAGAATGTTTGAGATGTTCAGATGTACACAGCTCTGTAACGTTGTTGTGTTCTCCTTTACTATCCTATAGGAACGAGCATTTCCAGCGCGGGCACCAATACGGCCACCGCCGGGGGTCCCAGCAAGATTCTCTTTGGCAGACTGAAACATGGTAAGCCTGCTGATATTCTATTATCTATTTGTGGTGGCCTAATTTTGCTATTCAAAAGGCTTTTTAATGGCTGCATCGATCGACATGCGGTTTTCGCCAAAAAATTCTTTAAAATATTCTCCAGATCATGGTGCCCTTGGTTTTTTCAGTTTTGAGACAGTTTTGCTGCAAAAAGCTAAATTTCTTTATTTCGCCAATCATTTTTGAAGGCCGACGCTTCTGTCTCTGTAATTTTAGAAAATCCGGAAGTGATATTTCGCGAGGCACGTTTTGTTTTGAAAGTATAGATCTAGACCTAATTTTTTGCATCTCTCAATATTTATTTTCACATTCCAGTAGAGTGTAAATATAGTAGGCCAATGACTTTTAGCTTATATTAAAGCACCGATCATCCCTTTCATCGAAAGGGGGCCCAGCTAGTAGCATATATGTACACACATCGTTAATCTTGTCTTGTAGTAAGACTAGTTAACCCATAAAATATCAACAATTTTTCTAATTTGACGAATCAATAATATATGCATATGCTCAGTCAAAGACAGGTCTGAATTTTCACTAGAAATGCTCCCACAATTTTAGAATATATATACACACATCGTAAATCTTGTCTTGTGGTAAGACTGGCTTACCCCATAAAATATCAGCAATTTCTCTAATTTGAAGAATCAGTAATAAATGCATATGCTCAGTCAAAGACAGGTCTGAATTTTGACTAGAAATGCTCCCACAATTTTAGAATATATATACACACATCGTAAATCTTGTCTTGTGGTAAGACTGGTTTACCCATAAAATATCAACAATTTTTCTAATTTGAAGAATCAGTAATAAATGCATATGCTCAGTCACAGACAGGTCTGAATTTTCACTAGAAATGCTCCCACAATTTTAGAAATGAAGTCGAACAACCCATGGGCTACCAGGCTGCTTGTTATGAAATAAAATAAGTTTGTTTTAATTCTCCTGTAAAATTAACTTCGCTGTTTAATTTTATAACCTTTTGTGTGTTCTTGGTAAATTGAAGTCTATAGTTATATAAAAAAAACTTTCGTGAGAATACTTTTTTTTGCGGTGTTGAAAAGAATAAGTACTCTGTTTCACCCTTCTCTTTTGAGGGTAAATAACAGAATTTGGAGGTACTTATTGTTCTGGTGATAACCGTGGTTTACACTTCATTTTCCTTTTTTTCCCTCTGTTATTTCTGTCTTTCCATCTGACTTTTATCCATTATTGTGTTGCTTTGCTTTTTTTTTTGGTGGCGGTTGGCGGGTACGGCACTCTGGTGTGTTTTATTCCTTCTTTACTGTCAAAATTCTTTTTATCCTTATCTCTCCTACTTATTTTCGTTGTAAGTTCCTCTCTAATTTTCGACTGTCTCTCTAATGTTCGACACTTTTATTACCTACTGGTGTTGTAAGTGGCATAAAATCGCTACTTAATCTAAAGCTTCTTCTTATTCAAACAAAATGGCTTCCACTTCCTCCATTTGAATCCAATGGTTGTGGTTGCAGAGAAGCGAGACAAGGAGCCACCGACCGTGTTCATTGACCTGCGAGGGTTTGAGAAACAGAAACAAGAGGAGCACCAAGGGCTGGAGAGTGTGCAACGCGTGTTGGGAATTCAACCTGGACAGCAAGGGTGTGTAGTGTGTTGTTATGTGTTGTTATGTGTTAGAGTGTGCTGGGAATTCAGCCAGGACAGCATGTAGTGTGTTGTTATGTGCAACGCGTGCTGGGAATTCAGCCTGGACTGCAAGGGTGTGTAGTGTGTTGCTGTGTTGCTGTGTGTTGTTATGTGTTAACGTGTGCTGGGAAGTCAACCACGACAGCAAGGATGTGTAGTGTGTTGTTATGTGTTAGCGTGTGCTGGGAAGTCAGCCAGGACAGCAAGGGTGTGTAGCGTGTTGCTGTGTGTTGTTATGTACTAGCATGTGCTGGGAAGTCAGCCGAGATGACAGGGGTGTGTAGCATATTGAAGCGTGTTTGTAGTGTGTTGTTGTGTGTTGTGCTATGTTGTCTGCTGTTGCGTGTAAGGTGTTGTTTGTTGTGTGTTGTTGTACTGTGTTGTGTGCTGTTGCGTGCAAGGTGTTGTTTGTTGTGTGTTGTGCTATGTTGTCTGCTGTTGCGTGTAAGGTGTTGTTTGTTGTGTGTTGTTGTACTATGTTGTCTGCTGTTGCGTGTAAGGTGTTGTTTGTTGTGTGTTGTTGTACTGTGTTGTCTGCTGTTACGTGCAAGGTGTTGTTTGTTGTGTGTTGTTGTACTGTGTTGTCTGCTGTTGCGTGTAAAGTGTTGTTTGTTGTGTGTTGTTGTAATGTGCTGTGTGTCTTGGAAATTCAACCAGGACAACGTAGGTGTGTAGTGTGTTGTTGTTGATCGTTAACGTGTCAGTGTGGGTTGGGAATGTAGCCCAGACAACAGAGGTGTATATGTGTAGTGTGTTGCTGTTGGTTGTAGGGTGTTGTGCTGTATGGTGTCACTGTGTGCTAAGAACTCAGCGTGTATAGCACAGATGAGTAGTGTGTTGTTGTTGGTTGCAGCGTGTCAGTTTGTGCTGGGAATTCTGTCATGGCAAGACAGATGTGTTGTGTGTTGTGTGTTATGTGTTGATGTGCATCAGTGTGTGTTGGATATTTAGCCGAGACAGCAATATTGTGTAATGTGTAGTGTTTTGTTTGTTGGTGTGTGATGAATATTTTGGCTTTGAGATGGATATGCATAGTGTGTGATATGTACTGTGTATTCAGTGAGACGACACAGGCGTGTAGTGATTAACTCTTGGGAGATGCGTGCTCCGGCCTTTCAGCAACACTTGAAGTTTGCGTTATTTTGGGACACTTAAAAAAAAGTATTAGGCCCCACTTTGTTATCCATATATGTGTCACGGCGTAGTGGAATCAGGCTCTCGTCAATTTTTTTGCATGTGGCGTTGTTCGTGTCATTTTAAGACTTGTTTAGTTGTCTTGCTATCGGTGAAAAAAAAAATGCCCATTTATCTTGAAAAGAAATTAAGATATTTGAGATTGAAGAAGGTGAGGTTGCCTGGTTTTAAAGGTAGAATTAGCGAGAAAATGACTACCAAAGTTTGGTTATTTTCCATAGCTTGAACGGTCCGTGGAAACTGAAAACTTACTATTTAGTGCTTTTAATCAACCTCTGTCGGTAAAATCTGCCAGAAATGTGTTCTTAATTGGACAACAGTGGTGTTAAGACAAAAAAAAAAAATTAGATAAATATTACCAAACAGGCAGAAAATTGCCAGTTTCTACAATTTCATAATTTTGACGAGCGCCTGATTTCACCACGATACCTCACATATGTTTTTCAATTACATGTTATCTGAAACTTAAAAAGGAAATCTGCAACATGCATACTATGGGATATACACATTCGTGTATCTTTTATTTGTGTATGATGGTTCAAAATGTGCCGTAACAATGCATTTGATCTGTTGGCGGACACATGTGTCTGTTGCGTCGTTAACCGCTTTACTGCTGCTCGGCGTGCAGTGTACGTCCATAAATTGAGCCCTCCTATATGCTGTAGACGCACAGTGTATGCTTGGCAATATCGCTATCTTGTTTCGTTTTTTTACTCAGCCGGTAATTGCAATTTAATATCGAGAGTGGGCTCCCCTGAAAGCCGTTTTCTTCCTGAGTTAGTAGAGAAGCTTTAGTTTGTCCTAGTTAGACCAACAATAACCGAAATAGCGTGAATTTTAGCGTCACTGAACAGTCACTCTCTCTTCACAGGTCTAGCGTTTCACTCTAGCTCCGAGCTATGGCTGATCACTCACGATGTATGCTCTCGACGTATCAAGCAATCGAAGAAGTTTTTGCTGATGATGATTGCGGTTCATTCATTTCCCTTTAAAATGATATAGACATTGTTATGTTTTTGATGTATTACCGCAAAGTAAAAAGCACTTTAAAAGGATCACCCGTTTAAGTGCTATTCCTGGAAACAAGGTCAGCATAGGGCGAGGAATATAGGTCATAGGTCATCAGTGAAGGGGTTAAAGAGTGGACATGTAATGTGTATTTTGTCTTTGTTTATTAGTGTGTGGTGGTCGTTCATCCTTTGCTGAGTGAGTAGGTTTTGAGTCATGCTGTGTAATGTGATGATGTGCAGTCGTAAAAAAACACAAAATGGATCCCACTTTTTCCCGTTTTATTTTCGACCCAAACTTACTTTCACAAACCCAGACACAGGGCTTTATGAAGCTCTTGTTTGTTGGCATATCAGCATAGCCTGCTGGAGGAAAAGAATGAAGGAGGAGGAGAAAAAGAAGAAGAAGAAGAAAAAGAAGAAGAAGAAGAAGAAGAAGAAGAAGAAGAAGAAGAAGAAGAAGAAGAAGAAGAAGAAGAAGAACGAAAATAAGAAGAAGAAAAGAAAATGAAGCAGAAGAAAAGAAAATGAAGCAGAAGAAGCAGAAAAAAAGGAAGAAAATGACGAAGATGAAACAGCAACAACGATCACAACAATCACAACAATCACAACAATCACAACAATCACAACAATAATATCCCCACAAGAGCTGAAACAATAGTACGGGGAACAAATTGTCACATCCTAGCGAACTTTGTCTCCATCTCTTTTTTCCTCAGCGAGGAGGAGAGCTCAAGTGACGAGGAGGAAGAGATGGTGGAGCGCTGCGACTGGCGCCTCACCCGGCAGAAGATCAAGCAGGACCTCACCACGCAGGGGGCGGCCGCCACTCTCAGACCGTCGTCCAGAACCGTGGGAGGCGGAGACGGTCGGCAGGAGTACAAGAAACCCCCGAGAGTCATCAACCTCCAGGTTGGAGATTTTCATTGTTTAAAATTACAGTCTAGCATCTTACTCATTTTCCTCTTCTTAACTTTCCGAATACTTCTTCATTATTATTCCATTCGTAGAACGGGTACTTTTGCTAGTGTACATAATTAAAATGGCGGGACATTGAAATCTTTTCGTTATGTTTGAATCTCGCTGAGCATATGTTTTAAATACGAAAATCTATTATCTATTTGTGGTGGCCGCATTTTGCTATTCAAAAGGCTTTTAAATGGCTACATCGATCGACATGCGGTTTTCGCCAAAATATTCTTTAAAATATCTTCCTGATCATGACGCCCTTTTTTTTTTTTTCAGTTTTGAGACAGTTTTGCTGCAAAAAGCTAAATTTTAAAAATTCACCGATCGCTTTTGTAGGCCGACGCTTATGTCTCTGTAATTTGAGAAAATCCGCCAGGTTTGTTTATTTCAAGTCTTACTTCCATTCGATACTATCGCGCATTGTCGTGCAATACTGAGCACTATTTTAAGTGAGCGACCCGTATAGATCTAGCCTCATGTTTTCTTTGTTTTACTTGGTGCTAAATTCGACTGTGATCATTTCGTTCGATGCCCATCATCGCCTTTTCTGGACTCCTTTGTCAAATTCTTTTTCTTGCTACTGGGAACAATCAACACGCTTCTGTACAACCACAAAAGCAGAATACAGAATCAATCTAAGCTTCTATTATATATTTGGCAACTAGGAAACGCATGTGTCACTTTTCTCTCAAGAATTATTGCTCTATTCCAGTAGAATGTAAATATAGTAGACCAATAATATGCAGTTGATGTTAATGCACCGATCATAACTTTCATCGAAAGGGGATACCCACGTACACACATATCCACGCACACACGTACACACATACACACGTACACACATACACACATACAAACAGACCAAGAGGCACGCACCTGAATCGACACAATTGAGATCATTTAGGAGATGGGCTGCTTTGACCTCGTCTGTCGCGACCAGCCTGGGTATCATCATCACTCGTCTCTGTCACCCTCATACTGGGTACACACCACCAAGAAGAGCTCCCCACCCCCTGACCTAGAATGACAAAGTTCTATCAGCTCTTATCCTATCTAGAGAAGACTATTGTAACTCACTCCTAGCAGGTCTGAACAACAAATATTTGAATCGTTTACAAGTAATTCAAAACAATGCCGCTAGACTGATAACAAGATCTAAAAAACGAGACCATGTCACTCCATTATTAAAAGAACTGCATTGGCTCCCTGTAAAAGAAAGAATAATATTTAAAATCTGCGTCATGTGTTTCAAATGTGTAAATAAAACTGCTCCTTTTTATCTACAAGAACTTATCAGTATATATATAAACCAGGGAGAAATCTGAGATCATCAAACGATAACACCCTACTTGTGACACCTGTAAAATCATACAAATCATATGGAGAGAGATCTTTCTCATATCTTGGTCCATTTATGTGGAACAGATTACCCAGGAAATTAAGACAAATAAAAACGCTTGATAGCTTCAGAAGACATCTTAAACATTTTCCGTTCATACAAGCCTATCCTTCATAAGCTTTTAACGTTATATTTAATTATAGTTGTTCTATTCCTATGTCTGGATGAAAATTGTGTGTGTGTGTGTGAGTGTGTGTGTGTGTGTGTGTGTGTATGTGTGTGTGTGTGCATGAATATATATAGCATGAGAAGAAAGGAAGTAGTAAGAAAGGTTTTGAAAAATGGGTATTCCAATGTAAAGCGCATTGAGCCACTTTTTTGGAAATGCGCTATATAAATGTTATATATGTGGCACGGCGCAGTGGAATCAGGCTCTCGTCAAAATTTGGGCATGTAGAGTTATTGTATCATCTTAATGCTTCTTTACTTCTCTTTATTTGGAAGAAAAAAATATCCGTTTATCTTGAATACAAGTCAAGATATTTGCAAATGAAGGAAGTGGGGGTCACCTTGTTTCAGAGTTAAAATTAGTGAGAAATTAGCCCCCAAAGGTTAGTTATTTCCTTAGATTAAGAGTCCGTGGTAACTGAAAATTTACATTTTTTTGTGCCTTAATTAACGCTTTTCAGTCCAACCCTCGCAGAAATGAGTTCTTTAATGAGCATGAAAGGTGTTGACCCAAAAACCAAAAATTTGATAAAAATTCACAAACCTGTGAAAAAATGCAAGTTTCTTCACTTTGATTATTTTGACGAGAGCCTGCTTCCACCACGCTGCCTCACATATTAGTATAGTATCTGCTCAGTACCTAGTTTGGTGAAATTTGACATGAAAAAATTTTAGTTTCACATGTCAAGCTTTTTCTAATGCAATTTTTTCAATATTTTGATAATGATATCCGCAAAACCGTACAATTTTGATAGACCAGATAGAACATTTAGTTTGTGATCTCATGGTCTCAGTAACTAAAAAAACAGGCCAAAATATCACATAGAACTTTGTCAATTCTAAGATAGTGACCTGTCTCTGTTCTGGGTGATCTTTTCCACCTCTAGAACTTGTTTAAATGGGATACAATGTTCTGGAAGTGCTTCCCCCCCCAAAAAAAAGCCAAAAAAAAAAAACCCAAACAAAATTCCCCTTGTTTTTTCCTCCCAGGAGCATTCAGTCAGCAAAAAGTGGGCGAGGAGACCCGAGTCGTCTTCGGCCGATCCTGGAGAGGAAGGGGAGGAGTCAGAGGAGAGGAGGATGAGGGAGGAGGAAGACAACAAGGCTCGCATGGAGAAGCTGGAGGCGGAGAGAGAAAAGGAAAGACAGAGGGAGGAAGCCAGGTGAAGAGGAACATTTTTTAAATACAATGTTTGAATTGGAAATGTCCTGTTTGGTTTTAAGGAAGTCGGCCTTCTTTTTAGTTTTGTTTTTAATGATAATGTTAAAAATAACTTCGACGTATATTCATATTTTGCAGCATTCTCTATGTGCTTTACAACCCTTTATATTGCTTTTGGTTGGCTATGCTGACCCTGCTGATGCTATGAGTGTGGTTTATGTAGACAGGATTTCTGACCAAAAAATCGCTAAGGAGGTCTGTCTTTATAGGCCTTTCATTGGAGAGGATGCACATTGTTGATTGGTCGATTTATGTTTTCAACCTTATCCCGAGACGCTGAAAATTTTGGAATTTTACTGATGTATATTTCTATAAACTTTGTCAAACTTGCTGTTGTTGTGTCTTAAAAAAGAAATAAATGTAATGGAAATCTCAGTTTCCGTATCCTCCAAAATAAGATAATATATGTGAGGCAGCGTGGTGGAATCAGGCTCTCGTCAAAATAATCAAAGTGACGATACTTGCATTTTTCCGTAGGTTTATGAATTTTTATCACATTTTTGTTTTTTGCCCGAACACCTTTCATGCCCATGAAAGAACTCATTTCTATGTGGATTTTTCTGAAAAACGTTGAATAAAGGCACAAAAAATCATGCTCTATGTGTTTTACAATTTTAATATCTTCTCAATGTTAATGTCATTCAACAGAGTTGAATCGTTTTGCTCTTTACCCTTGCTTAGTGATTAGTTCCTATCGTTCTGCAGTCAGTTTTGTGGTCAAGATGCTGCTCCTCTGACCTGACCGTGCCTGACAATTTTGTTCCCAGCAGGGTCTGTTTGCTGGAAGCATTGATGGCAAATAACGTAGCGACATATTTGTCAGTACTAAATATATTTGTGGGCATGCTGACAAATTTAGTCACTTCTTGGAATTTATGAGTGTAGATATCGGCCGCAATTCGACATATGGATCAAATGTGTAGACATATCGGCCGCAAATCAACGTGTGGATCAAATGTGTAGATTTTCAGCTGATGCCATTTTCTTCAATTTTAACATGTTTTTAATTATTTCCTACTAGATCTAGTAAGCTGTAAAAAATCCATTTGATAATTTTGATGAATCTGTATCCTTTGTGCTAGACTCAAAGAAGTAACTCAATTTGTCAGCATGCCCCTCATTTGATAATTGTGGAACTTAGAGAAAGGAAGATGACAAAAACTGGATTCCAGTCTGATTTTTTTTTTTAACCTTAAAATTTTTTGGTTGTTGATCTTAGTCTGTAACATCTAGTCTCTAACAGACTGAGCTGAAACTTCTGGCTTACGTTTTAAAAAATTCAAATTTTTTAATTTGCTTATTTTCTAGGAAGCAAAGAGAGAAGCGAGAGAAAGAGCGAGAGAGGCGAGTGAGGATGAGTCAGCAGGTGGAGGCCGCGCGCTCGCAGGCGTCCACTCAAGGGAGGCAAGCAGCAGGGGAGAACACTCAGGCCGTGTTTGACCTGGTCAGTTGTTTCAGCTTGTTTGAACCATACGGGAGAAATGTCTCTAGTGCAATAGTCATGATGATAACTAATAATTTTTAACAAATAATTTTTAACAAATAATTTTTAACAGATAATTTTTTGTTGTTGTTTTGTTTGAAAAAAATGGTTAGTGTTTTGCGGCGCTTGTGACTGCATAAGGTCATAGGAGCGAGCGGGACACATTAAACATCAGTTGGTAGGAAATTTTGAATTTTACCCTGGTGGAGGCCAAAGCTTACGCTTATCGATTTTAGACCACCAAGGGATTTTTAACGTGCGCAACTTGCACACGGGACCTCTGAGATTTTTCGCCCTCGTCCGAGAAGGCTAGGTGTAGATCTTTCCTATCAGAAGATCAGGGGTGTGGCAGAAAGACAGCAGTAAGGAGGAGCCAAGGAGAAGCAGTAGAAAGGCTGCAGAAAGAGTCAGGAGCCCAGAGGAGGGGGCAAAGGAGGCAATACAAAATATTTGTATTGTAAGTGCCACAAAACTCTTACGAAAAATAAAACTAAAAGTTAGATTATCTAAAAGATTAGTGAGTAGTGTGGCCCAACCCCCCCCCCCCCCTCTATCCCTCATGGCCCCCCCCCCCTCTCCGTCCCCTCACCCTGTCCCTCACTGGCACACCATTCCCCCCCCCCCCCCCCGTCTCTCACTGGCACACCGTCCATCCCTCCCCAGGAGTCGTCGTATGAGCCGGCACCCACCACCCTGCCCACCACACTCCCGCCACAGAGAGAGACACTGCTTCTGTCCGTCCACCTGTCCAGCAACGGGGAGATCGTCCAGCACCGCAACCGCTCCAACCGCAGTGTGGACACTGGTGGGTTTTGTTTGTTTGTGGTTTTAAAAGAAATTTCCACATCTCTGCGCAAGAATCCATCATAAACATCGCTTTTCAAAATGGGGTATGGAAGAATCTTAACGTTATGATAAGCGATTGGTTTTTGCTTCGTTTGTAAGTTTTTCATGAGCTGCTGTTTTGCTTTCATAATCATAATGGAACCATTTCTGTTTAGTCTCGGGTTAAAGTTGAACCAAACTAACTAATCACTGTATTCTTCATATTTACTGTTTCTGCTTTCTTTGGTGTGATGGTAAAGCTCTCTATTGTGTTTCATGTTATGTTTTTGTCTGTTTTGTTTTTTCATTTCTTGTGTTGAAAAGGTGGTTACTTCTGATGATCTATTTTCTTCCCTAGTAAGTTCTGTACAAAATGAGTGGGTGGTTGGAGGGCGCCACTGGTAGGTTCTACTTCTTTACTTTCTCTTCTCTGTATCTGTTCGTCCATCTTACTTTTTCCAGCAATAAATGACTATTATTGAGTGGACTTGCTTCTCTTTACTCAAACTGACAAATAAACAATCTTTTAGCGATTAAACTCATTAGTCGTATAACTGCATAGAAACAGACAGACAAGTGCATGTACATCATTTGCAAATCATGAATCATGATCGTTGTCATCATCAGTGTTGCATAGTAGAAAAGTAAAGTTGTTCCCACATCCGATCCGGACATTGGGGACTGCCTTGTTAGTGAGACAACTTCCTGGGCCTTCGGCATATTGTGGTAGGGTGGGCAGTTCCTTTCCAGTTGCAGAGTATGAAGTGAAAAACAAAAAGGAGGGCCTTTATGGTATACATGTAATACAAGTTCGGGGAAGGTTATTTTTTTCTTCCCCGGACTGACCAACGATTTTTCCCCCATAATTATTTTTTTTACTTCAAAGATTTCCAATCACGTTTTTGAGTAAAGCCAAAGAAACATACTCGTAGTCATAATTCTCTTCCAAGAAGATGGAGAGAGTGAGAGTGGGACTCAGGTGACAGCAGCCTCAGAACGGCCAACTTTTAGCTCGTCAATTGCAAATTTTCTTCAGCCCCCGGATCCCCAACAGATCCCCAACCAGATCCCCAACCAGATCCCCAACCAGATCCCCAACCAGATCCCCAACCAGGGCAACTGGACTCGGACCCCCCGCAAATTTTTCTTCCATTCTGGGATTTTGCTGTTAGAAGCACTGGTGTATTTTAAAAAAAGGGAGACTTTTGGAAATTTTATGGTTTTGTAAAAAAAAAAACCTCGTTAAGTTTCGGCGTGTTCGGGCTTTATTAGGAACATATTTTAGAAAGAACCACCCCCCCCTAAAAAAAACAAAAAAACAAACAACAACAAACGAACAACAAAACAACAAGAGCACTGTAGTAACAAAAGCATTAATTTCCTACATGATGGACAATGATGTAATTGATAAAAATATACTGTGTAGATGATTATCATCGTTATCATCATCATCGCCATCGCCATCGCCATCATCGCCATCATCATCGCCATCATCATCGCCATCATCATCATCATCATCATCATCATCATCATCATCATCATCATCATCATCATCATCATCATCATCATCATCATCATCATCATCATCATCA